TCATAGGCGCGAAGCATATCCTCCAATATCTAAATGGTGCAATTGGACTGTCTGTCTGTCTGGGGGTGAAATGTTGTACTCAACTCAACTCATGTGCCTAACTCACGTTTTACAGCCCTGGAGAAATGCGATGTGAACTGTGTGCCCCGATAAGAAATAATGGACACTGGTACACCGTGTAGATGAACAATCTCATAGATATAGATCTCAGCCAATCGCTCTGAAGAGTAGGTAGCTGCCATCGGAATGAAATGTGCCGACTTAGTCAACCTATCCACAATGACCCACACTGCGTCAAATTTCTTCAAAGTCTGTGGGAGCCCAACAACGAAATCCATGGTAATATGCTCCCACTTCTACTCGAGAATCTCAAGTCTCTGAGACAAACCGCCAGGCCTATGATGCTCGTACTTCACTCGCTGGCAATTCAAACACTGAGCCACATATGCAACTATATCTTTTTTCATTCTTCTCTACCAATAATGCTGCATCAAATCCTAATACATCTTGGCGGCACTCGGATGAATGGAATACCGCAAACTGTGGGCTTCCTTAAGAATTAACTCACGAAGCCCATCTACATCGGGCATACAAATCCGACCTTACATCCGCAACACCCCATCATCTCCAATAAAAACATTCTTGGCATCACCGTGCTGCACTGTGTCCTTGAGGACAAGTAAATGGAGGTCATCATACTGACGCTCTCTGATGCGCTCAAACAAAGAGGATTGAGAGACCGTGCAAGCAAGAACCCGACTAGGCTCCGAAATATCTAACCTCATGAACTGATTGGCCAAGGCCTGGACATCTCATGCTAGCGGCTCTTACCAACTGGAATATATGCAAAGCTATCCATACTCATAACCTTTCTACTCAAGTCATCGGCCACCACATTGGCCTTCCCGAGGTGGTACAAAATGGTGATATCATAGTCTTTTAATAGCTCTAACCACCTCTGCTGCCTCAAGTTGATATCCTTTTGCTTAAACAAGTACTGTAGACTCCGATGATCTGTGAATACCTCACACGACACTCTGTAGAGGTAATGTATCCAAATCTTCAATGCATGAACAATCGCTGCTAACTCAAAGTCATGAACATGGTAATTCTTCTCATGAACCTTCAACTGCTGAGACACGTATGCAATCACTCTGCCATCCTGCATCAATACTACACCAAGACCAATATGTGATGCATCACAATACACAATATAAGATCCGAACCCATAGGTAATACCAACACCGGAGTTGTATTCAAGGTAGTTTTGAACTTCTAAAAGATCAACTCACACTCATCAGACCACACGAATGGGGCACCCCTCAATGGGGATACGATGGATGAAAACTCCTCCATGAATCGACGATAATAACCCACCAAACCCAAGAATCTCCAAATCTCTGTAGATGAAGTAGGTCTAGGCTAGTTCTAAATTACCTTAATCTTCTTAGGATATACTCTAATGTCGTCGGCAGATACAACATATCCGAAAAAAGCAACCGAGTCCAACCAAAACTCACACTTTGAAAACTTAGCGTACAACTAACTATCTCTTAGGGTTTGAAGTACAACTCGAAGATGCTGCTCATGCTCCTCTCAATTTTGGGAGTAGATCAAAATATCATCAATGAAGATGATCACAAAGGAATCCAAATAGAGTTTAGATACCCGATTCATCAAATCTATAAATGCTACTGGGGTGTTTTTCAAGCCAAATGACATCACTAGGAACTCATAATGCCCATACCAAGTTTGGAAAGCTGTCTTAGGGACATCTGATGCCCTAGTTTTCAACTGATGGTAGCTAGATCTCAAATCAATCTTTGAAAATACTTTGGCACCTTGAAGCTGATCAAATAAGTCATCAATCCTCGGGAAGGGATACTTGTTCTTGATAGTGACTTTGTTCAACTGCCAATAATCTATACACATCCTTATCGAACCATCCTTCTTCTTCACAAACAACATTGGCGCGCCCCAAGGTGAGATACTAAGTCTAATGAATCCTTTATCAAGCAAATCATGCAACTGCTCCTTCAGTTCCTTCAACTCGGGTGGGGCCATACGGTATGGTGGAATAGAAATGGGTTGGGTGCCCGAAGCCAAGTCAATACAAAAGTCAATATCTCTGTCGGGTGGCATCCCTAATAGATCTATAGTAAACACCTCTAGAAACTCAGGCATAACCAGTACTGAATCTATTGAAGGAACCTCCACACTAGAATTACGAACACATGCCAAATATGCTAGACATCCCTTCTCAACCATATGCTGAGCCTTCACATAAGAAATAATCTTGCTAGTAGAATGGCTAGGAGTCCCCCTCCACTCTAATCGGGGCAACCCCGACATGGATAAGGTCACCTCTTGGCGTGACAGTCCAATATAACGTGATAAGGTGAAAGACAATCCATTCTCTAAATAATATCAAAGTCCACCATATCAAGAAGTAGGAGATCTATACTAGTCTCAAGGGTCCCGATAGAAACCTCACTGATGGTAGGCTATAACTATGTGTTTTGGCCACTATTTGCATTCTAATTTGCTGTACTTTACTGATGTTCGAGTGCTAAATGGTAGTAAATTGCTCTGACTAATTGATTTATGTTTTTGCAGGAGATATTTTGGGCTACAATGGTGTTCGGAATCGATTTGAGCTAATATGGAGTGTTGGGGCCAAGTAAAAGATTATGGAGTACATTGGGAACTCATTCGAGGATCAACAGAGGTTCGCGTATTTAAAAAGAAGAAATAAAACGAGAGCAGAAAATGGCCCAGGTGCGCGGCTGTGCAATAGGCCACGCAAGTCAGACAGAAACTTTCAAATATGCGTGGCTAGATGCGCGGTCACCTGCCCAGGTGCGCGGCCGCGCATGTCCCTCCAAGGAAAAATTCTGCAGGGCTAAATTCATAATTTTGGGGGCGACTTTCCTTGACCTATATAAAGCCCAACTCGTCTAAAAAGAGGGTATCTTGATTGGGAGAAGTAATTTGCGAGGGAGGGGAAGACGGAAGCAACGGGAAATCGATATACTTGATCAAATTTACTCAATACGTAAGTTTGGGCGGAATTTGGGAATTGTAATGTCTTCTTGTTCTTCTAGTACTCTCGTTTTGTATACTTTCTTCGTTATGGAGTAAGTCTCCTTAGGGTTGTTGACGGATGTTGTGAATTAATCCTTGTTTTGGGTTTTACTCTATGTTAATTGCCCGACTTTAATGAAGGAGTTCTTAATTGAATTGCAAGGCTTATTGTTGTCTTACTTTAATCGAAAGAGAAGTTTACTGCTATTTGCTTTGTTTTATCTTGATGGGGTTGATTTTACATCTATTCTAAGTAATCAAAAGAGCTTAAGGAGTTATTGATTTACCCAGTCCATGAGAACAATCGAGAGGTGTTCTCCGAAAGATCGTTCATTCACTAATTTTGTGCATACATTCATAGGGCCTATTATTGGGTTACCTAAGGGAATCAAATTCATTCGGAAGAAGAATCTAAATCTTTGAAGTAGCCTAATCACCTGTTGAAATTGAAAGAATCAATAGAAGTTAAGAGTGAATCTAGCATAGAGTTACTCGGAACAAAAGTTGATCACATATCTTGTCATCACCCTTCCTTCTCTCATTGATATTCCTTTATTTTTACTAATCATTTGGGTACCATCAGTTTCTTACAGCTGATAATCGTAGTTTATTTGTAGTCAATAATAACATAAATTAAAAGGTTGATTATCCTAGATAGTGTTAAGCTGAGGAATAATAGAACATTATTGAAACCAATCCCTGTGGAGACGATTCAACATTATACTATCTTTGACTAGCGAACCCAAGTTTATACGCCGGTTTTGCGCTCGTCAAATTTTGGCGTCGTTGCCGGGGATTGGCGACTAATAGTGTTTAAATTAGTTTTCAGTGCTAATTCAAGAACTACTATATTTTATTTTCTTTTCTTGTTTTACACTCTTTTCATCTGTGTACAGGCAACAGGGTAAGTTCAGTGGTGTATGACTCGATCCTCTTCAAATGACCTGGTGCCATACGACCCAGAGTTAGACAAACACCTGAGGAAGCTTAAAAGAGAGAAATGAGCGAGTGGATTGTTATTGGGTCAGTTTTCAACTCAGGATAAAATGGTAAACAATGAAGAGATAGTAGACCTAGCTGCCAGAGAGGCAGCTCAGCAACAGGAAGCTCGGTTAGCAGCTGAAGGGGCCCACATAATTGCTGATTAAACGGTTGATGGAGAGCGAAGACTCAACCCCAACTGAATAATTGAGGATGCCTTTGAAAATGCAAGACCTAGGCCTGGGAGATCACTGGGCGATTATGCTAGATCGGTGTACAATTAATAACAGTCTAGTGTGAGGCCTCCACCCATTGATGCGAACAATTTTGAACTCAAACAGGGAGTCATCCAAACCATTCAGAATAAATGCATCTTCATAGGCAAACCCAATAAAGATCCCAACAACCATCTGATGGACTTTGATGAAATAATGAACACATTCCGCTATAATGGAGCATCACATGATGCTATATACCTCAGAGCATTCCCGTTCTCACTGAAGGATGATGCAAAGCAGTGGCTGAGAAGTTTGCCTATAGGGTCAATCCGTATGTGGGAGGAGATGACTACCAAGTTTTTGGAAAAATATTTCTCGGCTGCAAAGATGGGAAAAATGAGAAAGGAGATTCATAATTTCAGCCAAGGAGAAGGGGAGACAGTGTTCGATGCATGGGAAAGATTTAAGGAGTTGCTGCGGAGATGCCCTCATAACTGAATGGAGCAATGGATGCAACTTCAGGACTTTTGGGACGATTTAAGACTGTCATCAAGGAGATTGCTAAATAGTGCAGTTGAAGGCCCTCTGATGAAGAAAACTCCGGAAGAGATTGTTATTCTCCTGAATGAACTATCTGAAGATGCAGATCAATGATCCACAGATCAAGGGGATCGAAAAAAATCTACAGGGGTGCATCAATTAGAATCGATTGTAGCAATGCAGGCCCAAATTGTAGCAATGGCTAAGAACATCAAGCAATTGACTTTGGCTCAGGTGCAAACTCAACCACATGTGGGTTGTGATTTCTATGGGATGGGACACCCTACACACGAGTGTTAAGTTACAGCTGAGGAGGTCAACGTTGTGGGAAATTTTAATAGAGGGAACTACCAATGTGGGAACAATTTTAATGCTATGGGTCAAAGACATCCAGGTTTTTCGTGGAGTTCACCAAATGGAAGCTTGAATTCATGGCAGCAAAGTAATCTCAGACTACAGGGTGTGGGACCACCAGGTTTTCAGAACTAGCAGAGGCAGCAATACCAGCCACCGCAGCAAAATCAGTCAAATACGGAAGGTCTCATGAAGGAATTTATCAACAAAACAGATGAAAAATTTGAGAGTCAGGGTACAGCTATCCGGAACTTAGAAAGAAAAATGGGATAGATTGCAAATTTGTTGTCTGAGAGGGCTCGTGGTACTCTTCCATCCGACACTGAAAAGAACCCAAAGGAAACAATCAAAGCAGTATCTCTGAGAAGCGGAAAATAATTGACTAATCCAATAGTGAAGGCTAAATCGAAAGTGGTCGACAAGCAGACTGAGACACCATTAGAGGAAAAGAATGAAGAGCAAAAGAGTCAGAATAGCGGGGTGCAACAAGAAATTGAAGAAAGTAGACACATGCCAGCTCTACCTTTCCCTCAAAAGATAAAGCGGGAGAAACTTGACAAGTGTTTTGGGCGATTCTTGAAGATGCTCAAACAACTTTATGTGAACATACCGTTCACAGAAGTACTCACTCAGGTGCCCGCTTATGCAAAGTTCTTGAAGGAGATCCTGTCAAGTAAGAGAAAATTGGAGGAGACAACAGTGGTCAAGCTGAATGCCCACTGTAGTGCTATATTGCAAAACAAAAATTCCTCAGAAGTGTGGGGACCCAGGAAGCTTCACCATACCATTCTGGTTGGGGAGTGAAAAGTTTGACAAGGCTCTCTGTGATTCAAGTGCGTCTATTAATCTAATGCCTCTGTCTGTATTCAAGAAACTGGAAGGTGAACTTGAAGTGATCAAGTCAATACAAGTGTCCCTATAACTGGCTGACCAGACCACCATTCTACCTGAGGGAATCATTAAAGATAATCTAGTACGGGTGGACAAGTTTGTGTTCCCCGTCGATTTTATTGTGGTGGATATAGAGGTGAACAAAGAGGTACCTTTAATTCTGGGGAGACCATTTTTGTGTACAGGTAGAGCCATCATGGATATTTATGAGGGGTAGCTTATGCTTAGAGTGGGAACTGAGAAAGTAGTGTTCTAGATGAAGAGAATGGTGAAATACCCCAGTGATGAGGTATCTGCCTACTCATGTTTCAAGCTAGATATCATTGGGGAGCTGGCTGAGAAGTACAAGTCTGATAAGCTTGTGGGGGATATCTAGAGAGGTGTATTACCCAGTCTGGCACAGTGGATGATGAAGATCTTGAAGTAAAGAAAAAGGCTGAAGCTCTTGAAACGGAGGAGCAAGTGGTTTATGAGGAGGAAATAAAAGAGGAGGCTTCTAATCCCAATGTGGAATTGAAAGTCCTCCCCACTCACTTGAAATATGCTTTTCTTGAAACTAATAACTTTCCTGTGATTATTTCTGCTGATTTGATAGGTACACAGGAGCAATAACTGGTGGAGATGCTGTCAAAGTACAAGAAGGCCATTGGTTTGAGCACAAGTGATATTCAAGGAATCAGTCCAGCCATATACATGCACAAAATCTTGCTGGAAGAAAATAGCAAGCCAGTGGTGCAACCTCAACGCAAGCTTAACAAAAATTTGGAAGAGGTAGTGCACAAGGAGATCATCAAATTGCTAGATGCAGGAGTAATTTTTCCCATCTCTGACAGCTAGTGGACCAGTCCAGTGCAGGTTGTACCAAAAAAGGGGGCATGACAGTGGTGAAAAATGAAGATAATGAATTGATCCCCACGAGAACAGTCATAGGGTGGAGAATGTGCATTGATTATAGAAGGCTGAATGAGGTAACAAGGAAAGACCACTTTCTACTCCCTTTTATTGATCAAATGCTCGAGAAGGTGGCTGGACACGGATGTTACTGTTTCCTGGATGGGTATTCAGGCTACAATCAGATACCAATTTCCCCAAAAGATGTTGAGAAGACCACTTTCACTTGCCCGTTAGGTATTTTTGCTTACAGGAGGATACCGTTTGGGCTATGTAATGCACCTGCCACTTTTCAGAGGTGCATGATGTCTATATTCTCCGACTTAAATGAGAAGTGTCTTGAGGTGTTCATGGATGATTTCACCCTTTTCAGTGATGACTTTGAAGATTTTTTGATAAATTTAAAGCTCGTGCTTGAACGTTGTGAAGCTTCTCACTTGGTTCTTAACTGGGAGAAGTGTCACTTCATGGTAAAGGAGGGAATTATCGTGGGCCACAAGGTAACTACGCATCGAATTGAGTTTAACAAGGCTAAGGTGGATGTTATTGCTAGGCTCCCTCCCCCGACTTCGGTGAAGAGCATAAGAAGCTTCTTGGGACACGCTGGTTTCTATAGGAGGTTTATAAAAAACATTTCCAGCATTACCAAGCCATTGACACAATTGCTAGCAAAGGATGCCAAGTTTATTTTCAATGTAGAGTGCTTAAGAGCATTTGAGTTGATAAAGGAAAAGCTTATGAGTGCTCCTATTATGGTGACACCTTATTGGAGCCAGCTCTTTGAGATAATATATGATGCGAGTGATGTAGCTGTGGGAGCGATTCTAGGGCAACGAAGAGATAAAATGTTCAAACCCATCTATTATGCAAGAAGGACATTGAATGATGCTCAAGTAAATTATGCCACTACTGAAAAGGAGTTTTTGTGTTGTGGTCTTTGCTTTTGACAAGTTTAGATCATACCTGGTGGGAAGCAAGGTAATTGTACACACTGATCACTCAGCATTGAAATAATTGTTGAGTAATAAAGAATCCAAGCCGCGTCTGATGCGATGGGTTTTGCTGCTCCAAGAGTTTGATTTGGAAATAAAAGATAGGAAGGACATAGAAAATCAAGTCGCAGATCATCTATCTCGGCTTGAGAAGCCTCTAGTTGAAACAGTCAAAATAAAGGAAGAGTTCCCTGATGAGCAGATTTTTTCCATAGCAGCGGTTTTTGAAAGGCCGCCATGTTATGTAGATATAGCCAACTTTTTGGCTAGTGGATGGTTACCCCATGACCTCACTCGTGATCAAAGAAGAAATCTTCAAGGTGAGGTAAAAAGTTATTTTTGGTATGACCCGTTCTTGTGTAAACTGTGTGCAGATAGGGTGATTAGACGATGTGTGTCTGAAGGAGAAATGGCAAGCATTATATCTCATTGCCATGATAGAGCAGCTGGAGGTCACTATGGTGGAAATCGCACTACAACAAAGGTCATGGAAGCCGGGTTCTTTTGACCTACTTTGCACAAAGATGCACGGGCGTATGTAGCTTCATGTGATAAGTGTCAGAGAGTAGGTAATATTATCAAGAGGGATGAAATGCCGCTCAACTCCATTCTGGTATGTGAAATTTTAGATGTTTGGGGCATCGACTTAATGGGTTCATTCCCAACGTCGCATTCTTATGAGTATATCCTAGTAGCCGTTGACTACGTCTCTAAATGGGTTGAAGCAATCCTTACTAGGACCAATGATGCTCGGGTGGTGTGTGAATTTCTTAGGAAATTTTTTTTACCCGCTTTGGAACACCTCGAGTGATCATCAGTGACAATGGGTCACACTTTGTGAATAAGCAGTTTGCTGCACTATTGTCTAAGTATGGGGTCACACACAAAACAGGAACACCATACCATGCCCAAACTAGTGGGCAAGTTGAAGTGGCTAATTGGGAACTAAAATGAATTCTTGCAAAGACGGTTAGTGCTTCTCGAAAAGACTGGTCTGTCAAATTGGATGAAGCACTATGGGAGTATAGAACTGCGTTCAAAATGACCATATGGACTTCACCATTCAAATTAGTGTATGGCAAGTCGTGTCACTTACCTGTTGAGATAGAACATAAGGCTTATTGGGAAATTAAGATGCTTAATCTTGATCTTAGTTTTGCAGGTGATCACAGGTTGGAGCAGATGAATGAATTGGAAGAGTTCAGACTGGACGCGTATGAAAGTGCGCGTATCTTCAAGGAAAAGACTAAAAAATGGCATTATTCATCTGATTAAGACAAAGGAGTTTCATGAAGGGGACAAAATCTTACTATATAACAGTAGACTCAGATTATTTCTCGGAAAATTCAAGTCTAGATGGACAGGACAGTATATGGTGAAGCATGTATCACCATACGGGGCGATTGAGATCCAAAACCAAGATGGAACAGAAAGCTTCAAAGTAAATGGGCACAGACTGAAGTCGTTTCTTGCTGGAGGATTTGCACAGCAATCCTCGAGCATCAAAATCAACTGAGGATGTCCGATTGAGTCAAGCTAACGACTATAACTCAGAACTACCTTTGACCTTTCTGCTAGCTAGATTTTTCTTTTCTTTTTTACTTCACATTTGTGCACAGCATAAAATAGATAGCAGTTAGTGTGTATTATGACGTAGTAGATATTAATCGGGACAAAAGGGCAAACATGCGCGGCCGCGCATTGACTGCGCATATGGCAAACCCTATTGCCAAACATGCACTAATGTGCATCGACCGCGCACATGGTCGCGCATTTTTGACCCCCCGCTGCCTCACGTGCGCGGCCGCGCACTGACCGCACACCAACCGCGCACAGGTA